GTCGGTGCAGCAGCAGATGGAGTTCCTCAACAGGCAGCTGCTGGTGCTCGGGGAGGTCAACGAGCTATACTTGGAGCAGCTGCAGAACAAGCACTCGGACACCACCAAGGTGGGCGGGGCGCGGGGGGGCGGGGGCGGCCCTCACTGGTCACCGAGCGGTTTCGTGACTCGTTTCCCAAAACGGCGCTGTGGTCCTGGCGCCCGTCCCCCTCTCCCCGGCCTGGCCGTGCAAGCACTTCTCGGCATCACACGAGCCTGCTCCCCCCAGGCCGCTTTGAGGTGTCAGTGCAGCCGCTGGTGGAAGTGGCACCGAGGAGGAGACGTTCCCTTCTTCACCCAGGCCCCCCGGAGGGAGGGGAGCGGCTCTGGCGCGGGGCGCTCCGGACCCAGAGCGCGGACCGCTGTGCCTGTCCTCCCTGCGGTGGAGTTTCAGCAGCTGGTGGCTCGCGCGTTGGCCAGGCCAGCGACAGGCCGGTCTTTTGAATCAGTGGCTCTGCAGTGCGTTGGGACAGTCTCGTGCCGGTGTAGACAGCCGGGAGTGTGAGTGAGCGAGCCGGGAGTGAGGGTCAGCACACACTCAGGTGTTTCCATCACCGCGTCTCCGTCACCCACGCCCACCTCCACGCTCTGTGAGGGCCCAGACCCAGAGGCGTGGCTCATCCCTGCAGCCCGCAGGCCAGGCTCCTCCAGAGGGAGTTCATCCGGAACCCGGCTCCCACTTCCTGGGCGTTATAACCGCTTTGGTGAAACAACCGGAACCACAGGCTGAGAACCTCTGAGGAGTTTACTCAGGGCGCCTGCCGGGCCTGGGGTTCGAGCACCTGTGTGCCCTCAGTGCCCTGGCCTGACTCGGCCCCTCCCCCAGGAAGTGGAGGTGATGAAGGCTGCGTACCGGAAGGAGCTGGAGAAGCACCGGAGCTACGCGCTCCAGCAGAGCCAGAGGCTCGACACCTCCCAGAGGCGGGTGCTGGAGCTGGAAGCTCAGCTGGCCAAGAAGGACCACCTCCTGGTGGAGCAGAAGAAGTACCTGGAGGACGTGAAGCTCCAGGCCAGGTAACGCGCGGGAGGGGCGTGCGGGGCGCGGGGGCGGCGGGGGTCCCACTGGCCGCTGTGTCTTCCAGGGGCCAGCTGCAGGCCGCCGAGAGCCGGTACGAGGCTCAGAAGCGCATCACCCAGGTGTTTGAGCTGGAGGTCTTAGACCTGTACGGCAGGCTGGAGAAAGATGGCCTCCTGAGGAAACTTGAAGTTGAGAGAACAGAAGCGGCGGAAGCAGCGGAAGAAAGGTAGGAGCAGAGGGCTGTGCGTTTCAGAGCCCCCCGCGCCCTGTCCTCAGGACGCCTTGTGATCTCCCCGTGTCCCTTTTCCGGGGCCCCAGTCCCTGTTTGAGACGCGTCCGTGTACCGGGCTGTGATTAGGTGTCCTTGTGAGGTCCTCCCTTGAGCCCATTACAAACGTGAGCCGTCGGCAGAGTTTGGTGTCGGTGTGAGCCCCCACCTCCGGACCCGGGCCCGCTGTCACCCACGCCGCTCTGCTCTGTCGCAGGCCGGACTGCTGCAACAACAGCGGCTCGGGTCCCGTGAGAGGGCACAGCGACGCGGTGTCGGGCCACAATGGGGAGACCAGGCCCCCCCGACCTGGCAGCACCCGGGGCGGCGGGGGCAGCGGCAGCGTGGGCAGCGGCAGCAGCGGCAGCAGCAGCGGCAGCAGCCAGCTCTCCACGCCGGAGAAGCCCCCGGCCCAGCGGGCAGGCCCGTTCAGCAGCCGCTGGGAGACGGCCGTGGGCGAGCCCTCTGCCAGCATCCCCGCCACTGTGGGCTCCCTGCCGAGTTCCAAAAGCTTCCTGGGCATGAAGGCTCGAGAGCTGTTCCGGAACAAGAGCGAGAGCCAGTGCGACGAGGACGGCGTGACCGGCAGCGGCCTCTCTGAGACGCTCAAGCCGGGTGTGGACGCGGGCGTGGAGGCCAAGACCCCCCTGAGCCCGGACGGCCCGCGCCCCGCGCCCCCCAGCCCGGACAGTGTGGGGCAGCTGCGCATCATGGACTACAACGAGGCCCACCAGGAGCACAGCTAAGATGGCCAATCAGTGTTAACAAAGCCTGAGGCTCGGCGGGGGCCGGTGTCCGAGGGCGCTGCTCCCGGCCCCAGAGGCCGGCCCAGGGCGGAGTGGGTGGAGGCCTTCGACAGCTGCCCGAGTGCAGAACGGTTTTCGGATCTGGCGTGGAAATGCCTCTTCCCTCCCCCCCATTGACCTCGCCGCGTGTACTAACCGAGGGCCAGTTTGCATTCCTCACGCTTGGTTTTCTTCCTCCCCCCGAGGTTGTGCCCTTTGAACCAGTGCAATATGAGGCCAAACTCCTCTAACCACTCCTCCCCGCAGCCGGAGAGCTGGCTGCGCGTTAGCCAGTGCAGGTGCGCCCTCGCCAGGAGGCAGCGTGTCAGCTGGCGTCTTTTGCTGGTTTGGTCTGAAGTTCAGCATCTAAGTCAGTGGGTTAAAGGAACAACGGTTCAGTCCCCTCCCGTCCTGGCGGCTCCGATAAGCTCCCTGGAGGGTCTGTGAACAAAGGTCTGTTGGGACGTCAGAGCTGGCGCTGCGGGGACCGGGCCTCCCCTTCGGGACGCTCCGTCCCCTTCCCCACTACCTCTTATTTATTTGGTGTTTGCTCGAAAGCTGGTACTGGTCTGACCACAGGCTGGTGAGGGGCACACCTGCTGTCTGCAGGCAGAAGGGGGGTGGGGAGGAGCCGCCTCGGCAGGGCTGTGCTGGCCGAGCCGGGGTGGCTGTCCGTCCGTGTGTCCTGGGCGCCTGTCGGCTTCTCTGTGGCTGCAGCAGGACGGCTCTGATGGGCCCAGAGCTGCCTCTCAGCCCACGCGACCTGGTTTCTCAGGGTTCAGAGCTCCTCACTAACTAGGTTCCAGGCCACCAGAAAGTAACAGCTCTTACACCAGTTCGGGGACCCCCGGCTGCCGCCCAGTGTGCTCGGGCAGCGGCCCCGGCCAGAGCGCTGGCTGGCAGAGTGGAACTCGGCAGATGCTCCTGAAATAAACGCCGGAAGCCTGAGAATTCTTGCCTGGTGTCCAGTGGGGAGAGGGGGGGTGGGGCCGAAGCCTGAGGGGGGCCGCCGGGGGAGGGGGGAGCGAGGAACGAGGACACACCGCTGCTTTCTGTGCTCCGAATCGCAGTCGACCACAAGGAGGGAAAGGCACCTCCCCGGGGTGGGGGAGGGGGTGTCTCCCGAACCTGGAGCTCCGCACAGGAGCCGGGGGTGGGGATCTCTGTCAGATGGGGACAGACGCCCTGGCATCCCTTCACCAGGGCCTGGGTGGCGAGAGGCCCGCATCCCATGCAGGGAGCTGACCTCGGGACCCGGTCTGCAGGCGTGACTGGCCCCGGCCTGGGAGAGGCGGTCAGCGGGCCCGGCACTGCCTTTAGCTGCAGTGTCAGTGTCCGAGGAAGCTGGCCACCCAGGACACCCCAGTGCCGGGCTCAGCCTCGGGAGAGCAGAGCTGCAGGGCAGCTGGCCAGTCCCGAAGCCCGTCCTGAATGCTTGTCCCGCCCACACTCAGAAGATGGGGACAGTGGGTGGTTTTGTCACTGCAGGGAGGAGGCCCGTGGGAGAAAGGAGAACAGTTGTAAAAATGGGCCACTGGTAAAAGTACAGGGAGGCAGGCGCAGCAAGGTGAGGGGCTGAGGCCGGGGCGGAGGCTCCACGGAGGTCTGTGCTGGCCCCTGGCATGCCCTCCCGCCCAGGGTCTGCCCGCCCAGCTCTGCAGCAGCCCTGACCCGAGGAGCTGGTTCTGGGGCCATGGGTTCTACTCCCCTGAGGCTTCAGGCTGTGGAGTGGAGTGGCCCCGGCCAGCAGCTCTGTGGGGCCGGGAGGAGGCGGGCCTTGCACCTGGGGGTGGGGGAGGGGAAGCCTGCCCGTACACCTGGTAGATTGGCCCTGGCCTTCCTGTCTTCCTGGGGACGAGCTGGGGCAGGACCGGGGAAGCCCTGTCAGGCAGTGCCTGCGCCGCTGCCCCTGGAAAGGCAGCTCTGAGTTTTGAGTGGCAGTAGCGCCCCTGAGAGGAAGACTCGGGCAGCTTTTCATTTTGTCCGGCGAGCACAGCGTCCTTGCCCGAGGCGGGTCTGGAACACAGGGCAGCAGCGGCCGCCTGCTCTGTCCGGGGGCCGCTCGGCGAGTGTGCTGGCGAGGCCTCTGCCCCCGGTGCTGGGTCTCGGGACAAAGGCGTTTCCTTTAGGGACAAACCAGGAGGCACCTGGGGAGGAGCACTTTTATTCTTGCCGCAGCCCCGAGGAACAAGAGCACAGACGCTAGGTCGCCCCCTGCAGAGGAAAGGCCGCCGTCAGGGAGGCCTCGGTGAGGACCAGGCGCCCGTCCCGCGCCTGGGCAGGGAGATGGCTCGTCCGAGGCCGGCGCCCAGCGTGCCCCACAGCAGCCTGGGAAGTGGGACAGCCACGGCTCTGCCGGCGAACAGCTCAGCCGGCCGGCTGGCTGGAGAGCTGGACCTGCAGCCGGGGGCTGGCCGAGGGGGTGCGGGCAGCCAGAGCCTGCCTGTTTGCCAGCCTCCCGGGGACCCCGCCCCCCACCAAGTGGGGCTCCTCCTCACGGGCCCGGAGCCCGCCCTCCAAGGCTTGGGAAAGTTAGAAGTGAAAGCAAGGGAGAGAGCGAGGGTCTCAACAATACAGGTGTCCCCCCAAAGGTACACACACTTTGAATGGGTTTTCATTCCCGTGGCTTAGATCTGGAAGGGAATAGACATCCATTGAGCAATCAGCTGGTAAGCGTGTGTGCAGCCCGTCCCCTGTGGCTCAGTGGTTGAGCGTCTACCTAGGAACCAGGAGGTTCAATTCTGGTCAAGGGCACAGGCCTGGGTTGCAGGTTCGACCCCCAGTGGTGGTGGGGGAGCGTGCAGGAGGCAGACAATCAATGATTCTCTCTCACTGATGTTTCTCTCTCCCTCTCCCTTCTCTGAAATCAATTTAAAAAATATATTTTTAAAAAGTGTGTATACATTTTTAGGGGACACCCTATATATTGGGCAACCCCCTTGGGGTTAATGAGTGTCGGAGACAGTGAGTGCCAGTGAAAATGGGGCGACCACTAGACACTGAGTTTAGTGACAGCACCCCTCGGCGGGGCGGGGCGGGCTGGGTGGAGTCACTGGCTCTGGGTTACAGTTTCCCCCCAGGGGGTCTCCAGGGGGGTTTTGAGCACCCCTGGTCTGCCCCCCTGGGCTTGAGGCTGCCTTTTGTAAGTTGCCTGCAGGGCTGTTCTGTACCGCGGTCCCGGGTGCCTGTGGCCTCGGCAGAAGGCACGGGGGCCGCTGGGGGTCCCGGCGCGGGGGGTCCCGGCGCGGGGGGTCCCGGCGTGGGGGGCCCCAGCGCGGGGGCCCCCGGCGTGGCAGGCCCACTCACGTGCTGCAGCGCTTTGCGGGGCAGCTTCTCCGAGTGGGCGATCCATTCTTTCATCAGGTCCAGGATGATGGGGATGAGGCTGACCACGCCCCCGTAGTGGTTCCTGGCCTCGTCGCAGCTCAGGTGGTTCACCACGTCGTGGGGGTACCTGCTGGGCAAGGGGGCCGTGAGCCCCGCTGGGGGACTCCCCGCACTGTGGCAGGCGACTGCCTGCCCGCGGGGAGGGCGTTTGAGCCTGACCTTACTCCGCACCGCCTGGGGGGGGGGGGTGAGTCCTGTGCACGCACTGCGCGGGGCGCCCTGTTTGGATGCTGTGGGTCAGCCATTGGGGACCCTGAGCCCCAGGTGGTCCTGGTGAGGAGTTGGCAGGACCTGGAGGCCTGGAGGAGGAGCTGTGGAACCTGCTCTAACAGCTGCAAACCACACTGTCCCTGACCCTCCTCCCGAGCCTCTCAGCAGCTCCCTGAGGACCTGGGACTCTGGGCGGCGGGTCCCGGGGCTCGGAGTTCCCACCGGCTTCACCACGTCAGACGCAGCTGCCTCCCCGCAGAGGCCCTCCTCCCCGTTCCTCCCTGCCCCTCCCAGCCCCTCCCCGGCCCACAGGAGCACACCCAGGCTCGGGACCAGGACAGAGGGACCTACTTTGCTCTCAGGCTGCTCAGGTCGTTGCTTTGGCTCACTAAGGTCTTGCATTTGTCCAGGAAGTTGTTGGTGATCGGGGTGCCTGCATGCAGGGTCTCGAAACGCTGGCAGAGCCTGCTCAGCTCCGTGCAGATGTCCAGGAACATGAGCAGGATGCGGTGGTCTGTGGAGTTGGTGCAGTAGTGCTCCATGTAGCTCTGCACCTGCAGGCGGCACTGTGAGCCAGGGGCGGGCAGGGGCCGGGCTGCAGGGCAGTGAGGGCGGCAGGGGCCCGGGTGGCAGGGCAGTGAGGGCGGCAGGGGCCGGGCTGCAGGGCAGTGAGGGCGGCAGGGGCCCGGGTGGCAGGGCAGTGAGGGCGGCAGGGGCCGGGCTGCAGGGCAGTGAGGGCGGCAGGGGCCGGGCTGCAGGGCAGTGAGGGCTGCAGGGGAGTGAGGGCGGCAGGGGCCGGGCTGCAGGGCAGTGAGGGCGGCAGGGGCCGGGCTGCAGGGCAGTGAGGGCGGCAAGGGGCTGGGCAGGGGAGGTCGCAGGGCCGGTTGCAGGCAGTGGGCGGGCATGCCGGGCCTGCAGTGCAGTGAGGGCGAGGGGCCCGGGTGGCAGGGGAGTGAGGGCGGCAGGGGCGGGCTGCGGGCAGTGAGGGCGGCAGGGGCCCGGGTGGCAGGGGAGTGAGGGCGGCAGGGGCCGGGCTGCAGGGCAGTGAGGGCGGCAGGGGCCGGGCTGCAGGGCAGTGAGGGCGGCAGGGGCCCGGATGGCAGGGGAGTGAGGGCGGCAGGGGCCGGGCTGCAGGGCAGTGAGGGCTGCAGGGGCCGGGCTGCAGGGCAGTGAGGGCTGCAGGGGCCCGGGTGGCAGGGCAGTGAGGGCGGCAGGGGCTGGGCTGCAGGGCAGGGCGGTGAGCCAGCTGCAGGCAGGAGCCTGGGCCCTGCTCTACGGGACAAGCGTCCAGCAGCCCCTCTGGCCCCCCGGCTCCCAGGGCCACGGGGAGAGGCAGCTTGTGGCATCTGAAAAGCAGACACCACCCAGCTGGCTGCCTGCAGGGCCCAGGTGCGGGGGCAGCACGCTGAGCAGCCCAGGTGCTTCCTGCTCTCACCCCACACCTGGAGCTTCACGTCCTCACTGATCAGCGAGCAGTGGCGGCTGGGAGCGCCGAGCCCGGCCTCCCCACGCCCCTGACCTAAGCCAGAGCCCGAAGCCGAGGGCTGGTCCCGGCTGTTCATGCCACAGCCCCCCTCTGGCACCCGACTGACACCCTTCGCGTCTGTCCCGCGTCTGTCCCGTGTCCGAGGCAGCGGAGCTGAGGTGACCTGCCGCGGGGAGAGCTGGCCACCTCCCCACGGACAGCCCTGCCGGAGGCACCCTGCGGCCCGAGCCCACACAGACTGCGCAGACGCAGACCGGGGACCCCGCCCTCCAACGCCGGGAGGAACTGGCTCTGTCCAGGTGGGACTCCCTGCTCGGTTCTCCTCAAATGGTTTCCCCTCTCTCCACGGCCCCGGGAGAGGGGCACCCACCGCCCAGCACCCACGAGTTCTCGGTCTGGACCGGCTTCCTGTTGTTGCTCGAGGGTGTCTTCCCACCCGACCCCACGTCCTTCCCATGTGCGGGGGCTCTCAGGGCGGCCCAGGTCCCCGCACCTGCCCCACACACCAGCCCCAGAGGGGGGCTGGGGGAGTTGGTGGGTCATGGACGAGCCTGGGCTGCAGGGCAGTGAGGGCTGCAGGGGCCCGGGGTGGGGGCCCAGTAAGCACAGAGCTCACTGGCCGCCCGCTGTGTGTGTGTACCCCGTGGAGGGCGGGCTGGGGGTGGGGAGCCCACACATCAGGTGGAGGGTCAGATTGTGGGGCCACTTAGACCAAAAGCCTCCGCTGGGCCCCAGCCCAGGCGAGTCTCCTGTGCTCCTCTGGGGACAGAAGTCCGCCCGGTGCCGGATGGCGGGCCTTGGAGGGTGGGCTGGCAGGACGTGGGTCAGGCCGTGGGCCGGAGGCGCCCAGGCCAGGCTGAGCATTGCGGGTTGGTGTGTCTAGTATCTAGTACAGGGGCCGGCAAACCACGGCTGGTGAACCACACGCGGCTCTTTGGCCCCTTGAGTGTTCTGACGCCACTTCTTCAAAACAGACTCGCCCAGGCCAAACACCGGCTTCTGCGCGTGAGCCGTGAATGCACTGTATTTTGTGGAAGAGCCACACTCAAGGGGCCGAAGAGCCGCATGTGGCTCACGAGCCACAGTTTGCCAACCACGGGTCTAAGCCAGGGGTGGGAACCTTGTCCCTGCCAAGCGCCCTGGGGATGTTTATCACATTATTCACAGCTGATGCAAAACCATCAGCTTCAAAACAGCTGCTCTTCCTGGCCAGACGGTTCCTGAACTCACCCTGAAGGCCTTGCAGGTCAGGGCAAAGGGCTTCTCGGGCCTCCTCCGCCAGTTCCCACCCCTCCACCCGGGTCTAGGTCGTGTGCGTGTTCATTTTCCGTAGCCTTAAGTTTTTTCCCCGTTAAAGAACCGGGAGAACTATTTACAAAAATTAGGGGAAACTGTTTTAAGGGGTGCTGCCAATAGGGGGAGCTGTTCTCCATGGGAGAGGGGTGGATGGGATGAGGGTCTGGGTGTGTGTTCCTGACACAGAGGCTCAAGCCGTAACTTCTCGGAGCGCACTGGGGGCCGAGGCCTCGAGGCCGGCCAGTCCACACACACAGGAGACACGGGTTAAATGGAAACGCCCGTGCTCGGACCCAGTGGAGCCGGCAGCGGCACCTCCGGGTCTGTCCCTCAGTGCATCCGGGTCCCAGCCCTGGGTGTGTTCCGAGGGCCAGCTCATTCATCCGCAGAAACGGAGGCCCAGAGAGGCGGTCACTGGCCCCGTCACCGAGGAGGCCTGGGGCAGAGGGGGAGGAGGCCCCGTTGCTGAGCCTTGAGCCCACATTTGTACCCCCTTTGTTCCGGTCGCCCCAGCCCTGAGGCTGGCACGTGCTCCCCCTCAGCCTCAGTGCTTTTCATGGTTCCGGCAATCTCCAGCCTGGCAAGGCCCCGGTCCCGGCCCGCCCTGCCCGCGCCCGCCGGCCCGCCTGGGGGGGAGCACCTGCTCGATGCTGGCGATGGGCCGGATCTTGTCGTGGGCATTCTCCCGGCAGTGCTCCAGCGCCCCCACGAAGGTGAACTGCTGCTGCTGGAACAGCTTGTACTTCTGCTCGATGCTCCGCAGCGCCTCCTTCGCCTCGTTCATGGTCATCCCAGCTCTTCCGCAGCCGGGGCCTGGGGGAAGAGCGAGCGCTGAGCACTCACGGGCCCCACATCCTGGGCAGGGGCTGCTGTCACCCCACTTTGCAGAGAAGGGAGCGAGCCCCTCCACGAGAGAGCTGGGCCCGTGGATCGCACGAGGACACAGCCTTTGCCATGACATGTGACTTCCTTCCTCCCTGAGGATGGCAATGCCTGTCCAGACTGAGTGTCACACACACACACACACAGACTCACCATACACACACACACACTCACTATGCACACAAGCACACACACCATGCACACACACACACACACTCACCATGCACACAAACACACACCATGCACACAAACATACACACCATGCACACACACACACTACCATGCACACAAACATACACACTCACCATGCACACACACACTCACCATGCACACACACACACACCATGCACACACACACTCATGCACACACACACACTCACCATGCACACACACACCATACACACAAACACACACTCACCATGCACACACACACTCACCATGCACACACACATTTACCATGCACACAAACACACACCATGCACACAAACATACACACACTCACCATGCACACACACACCATGCACACAAACACACACCTGTGCACACAAACACACACACCATGCACACACACACCTGTGCACACACACCATGCACACAAACATACACACTCACCATGCACACAAACACACTCACCATGCACACATACACACACACTCACCATGCACACACACACACCTGTGCACTCACCATGCACACACACCTGTGCGCACACACCATGCACACAAACACACACACCATGCACACACACTCACCATGCACACAAACATACACACACTCACCATGCACACAAACATACTCACCATGCACACACACACCATGCACACACACACCATACACACACTCACCATGCACACACACCATGCACACACACACTCACCATGCATACAAACACACACTCACCATGCACACACACACCATGCACACACACCATGCACACACACCATGCACACACACACCTGTGCACACACAGCCTCCAGTGCCTCCCTGTGGTGTCAGTACAAGCTGGGATCAGGGTGTGTGCCCCGGCCTGTGAACTCTGAACCCATCGGCTCGTACCGAACTGTGTTAAAACATCTGCCATTTGCGGGGTTCTTTGCGGTGGGCCAGGCAGGGGCGGGGCCAGCCCTGGCGGACACTTCCCAGCTCTGGGCGGGGGGGGGGGGGGTGTGGGGCAGGCCTGACCTCCCCACCCTGATTGGGAAGGGAAGGGGAGGGGAGGGCTCACTCGGGGAGCGGAGAGGCTGTGGCGGGCTCTGCCCTCCGGGCATCATCATTTTGCTGAGCGCACACGGCGTGGGCCAGGCCACGGGCTTGTGGGATGTCAGAGTTGGAAGGGGCCTCAGCAGATCAACACCCCTCACTTCCCGGGGGCCGGAGGACACTGACACCCAGGATGTCACAGCAAACCTGCTCCACAGACCCTCCCCCCATCCCCCAAGCTCCAGGCTGCCTGCGGGCCCAGCTGCATCCTCGAAGCTGCCATGGCAGCTGGGGTCCCAGCACCCGGCCGGGATGCGCCCCCCGTGAGCAGGGTCCGAGGCTGGGCCGGAGGCGGATCCCAGCGAGATGCTGCGGGGAAGGACGGGTCAGGAGGACACAGTCCAGGCCTCCGGGCAGGACCCAGCAGAGAAGTGGGGGCAGGTTGGGGGTTGGGGGGCGTTTTTGCTGTGTGGCCCTCAGCACCTGAGCCCGGAGCAGAGCTGGGCCAGGGAGGGCATCTCTGGGGCAAGAGGAGATGGCGTCCTGATGAAAGGAAACGCGGGCACAGACAGAGACGGCCTCCGTCCAGGAGAGGGGCAGTGAACTGGAGAACGGGGAGGCTGGGAGGCGGCCAAGCCCTGGGCGGGAGCGGGTCCGCAGCCAAGCGGCCGTCAAGGGGCAGCGGCAGAGGGGACCCTGACCGCTGCGCCCCGTGAACCGGGCGGCCGCCGAGAGTGCTGGTATAACGAATGCTCTTCACGGCAGCGGCCAGTCTGCCCGGGCGCTATGGTGCCGGTGTTTGCCAACAGAGCCGAGTGGACCGCCCGCCCAGGGCCAGGCCACCTCCTCCCCCTCAGCACCGCCCCGTCTGAGGGGCACAGGTGGGGAGCCGATGGTGGGGGCCCCTGTGTGCTGACCGCCTACCGCATCCCGCAAATACCTGCACCCACACCTGGAGGCAGACCCCGTTATTGTTGTGCCTCCCCTGGCCTCAGACTCCTCGGGCCCGGCCTAGCGTGAGGGGGGCAGGAAGGATCGGGGAGTGGAGTGGTTTAGATCAGGGCGAGGAGGAGGAGGAGGAGGAGGAGGAGGAGGAGGAGGAGGAGGAGGAGGAGCCAGGGAGCCGGAGGGGGTGTCAGGACCCAGGGGCGTGTGCAGGTGCCGGGCCTTATCCTGATCTTCCCCGGGCCACGGGCTGCTTGGTGGGGCTCTAGAACCCTGGACATGCCCAACCTCCAGTCCTCCCCACGGCCCTGTGAGCAGGGCGCCCCATGACGCTCCTGGCAGATGATGGAGCTGAGGTCACCCCAGAATCCCCCCCACCCCCCCCTGACTATAACTTCTGGGCTCTTGACTTGGATGTCTCTTCCCCTTGGAGATGGCCCACAGAGACCGCACACCGGGCCTCAGGGTGGCTGTGGGGTGGGGGGGGGACACCCAGGGCCGGAAGTCTGCCTGAGCCCTCCGAGGGGTCACGCACTAGCTGGACCCCTGGGCCTTGCTTCCCCCCTCACTGTTCTCTGCTCCTCGCTCCAGGCGGCGAGGCCTGGCTCCCTGCCACGCCCCGAGGCGCCAGGCCTTGGGGATACAGCGCCGCCTCGGTGGTGGCCCCCAGAGCCCCCGAGAGGAAAGCTGGGGGTGCTTGATCCCGGCGGTGACACCGCCAGCAGGGCCGCGGGAAGCGCTGTGACAAGCTTCCGAAGTGATCGTCCCGGACGCGCCTGCCGCCAAATTAGCCGGGATGAAAGACCCCTCCGGTCAGGAGCGGGAGGAAGTGATTACCCCGCAGGTTTCCGGCTGTAATTGATTTGTATTTTCCCAGGCTGCTGAGGAAGATTAGGCCCAGGCAGGGAAAGCGCCTAGGGCCTCAAATAAATGAGGGAGGCAGCCCTCTGAGATGTCCAGGAAACAAACCCAGGCTCTCCGCGCACACCGCAGGCTCGGTTCCCACCACCTCCGCTCAGGGGCTGCCTTTCCTTGCGGGGCCCTGCGGTCGGGTTTGACAAGCCCCCCGAGGTCAGCCCTTCCAGCTTCTCGGGGGTGGGGACTGGTGGCAGAGGCTTTGGCTAGGAGGCGGGACGCCGAGTTCCAGCCCTGGCTCTGCCCTTGATGAACTAGTGACCTTGGCTGACGATGGCCCGTTCTGGGCCTCAGTTTACCCAGCTCCAATAGGAGGGGATTGGGGTTGGAGGCTCTGCAAGGGGCTTTTGGGTTCGCATGCTCTGTGATCCGCGGAGGACAGAGGCCTGGGAACTTGTCCCAAATCACACAGCCACGTCTGGGGAGTCAAATGGGAACTCGGGCCGGTTCCTCAGGGTTGGTGCAAGGATGAGGTGAGATCATGCTAACAGTAGCCCTGCATGTGCCCTGACGATGCCAGGTACTGTCTAACCTTCAGCTGTATGAGCTCCCGGGGTCCTTCCCGCACCCCCACTCCACAGGGAAGGCAGGCGAGGCCCAGGGCAGGCTCCCACAGCGGGAAGAGGGAGTGCACGCGGGACCTGAGCTCTGGGCAATCCGGGTGGACTGGCCTCACGCCCTCTCCACAATGGCACGCACCCCGGCTGAGCGCGGAGCTCAGAACCGCAGCGACACTGGGGCTCCCAACTCAGGGCTGCGCCCCATCCCGCCTGGTCCCGTCCCCCAGGGCCGCACCCTCCCCCTCGGGGGCCCCCTGCACCTGCGCGCCCCTCCGGGTTCCGAACCTGGCGCGTTAGCCTGTGCTCGTCTACCGCGGCCTCACTCCGAACGCCCCGAAGCCGGAGTGCCTCCGTGGGTGCCTGGGCCCGGGAGAAGCGGGAGGCGTGGAGGTCGTGGGGTGTCGGTGGGGAGGTCGCGGTGCAGGGGCGGGGCCCGGCCAGATTGTTACCGCGGGTGCCATAGCAATGGGTCACGTGGCCTCCCGCCCCGCCTCCGGAGCGGGCGGCGGGGGCTCGGGGCTCAGAATTTCCCCGGGGACCCTGGCCCTCCAGGCGGCCCTATGGGCCCTCTTCCCTCTTCAGACACCCGCCCCGACCTCGTCTCTCCACTTCACAGATGGGGAAACTGAGGCCAGAGAGCCCAGCGCCCGGGCCGGGAGCGCAGGATCCGCTTGGGCTCACAATGTGCAGCTGAGCGCGCGGAGCTCCAGGCCCGGAGCCGGAGCAGGAGCCCTTCTGCCCTCGGGGTGGGTCCGGGGCTCACACCGGGGGGCCGCCGGGCGCCCCTCTGGGCCTCGGAGGCCACGGCCGGGAGCGACCTGCGGGGCCCGCTGACCCGCGCGGACGGGAGGGCGCGGCGCGGCGCGGGAAGCACCGCCCCGGAGCGCGGGGCCAGCCCGCGGCGCGCGCCGATGACGTTGGCGGCGTCCCCAGCGACGGCGGTCACCAGGGAGCGGCGCGCGGGTGACGTCAGGAGGCGGCTGCCTTAGCAACGGCGGTCGTTAGGGAGCGGCGGACGCGGCAGCATGGACGCGACCTCCGCCCCGCACCGCATCCCCCCGGAGATGCCGCAGTACGGGGAGACGCACCACATCTTCGAGATGATGCAGGTGACCCGGCTGCTACTCACCAGGCTTCCCGACCTGCGGTGTCTGCCTCCTGTGCCGCCGTGACCCTGAGGGGTCCCGCGATCTGAAGACACCGCACCCCGCGGACCCAGGGGCAGGGGAGGGGCGGGGCAGCCTGACGGGGCTGGCTCCTGGCTCCCGCCAGCGGCTAATGGCCCGAGCAGTCCCTTCCTTCGCTCGGCCCCCATCTGCCAAAGGCGGGGCTGACAGGGGTGGATTCCAGAGGGCCCTGCGGTGGTGGTTTCTGAGCTGGGGTGTCCGAGCTCACATTGGCATCCCATGCCCATGCCCCTGCCCATGCCCCGAAATGGCCACCTCCTGGGACAGCTGCGCTTCCCACCTGCCCTCCTCCTCAGTGCCAGGAGCTCCTGGCTGCTCCCAAGCTCCTCCTGGGTGCCCGCCTTGACGGGCCTCCTCCCCCTGTGACCTTAGTCCCCAGCGTGTGCTGCGGGTGACCCTCCCGCATCTCTGGAGATCCAGCCACACAGACTCTGAGGGCTAAAGGGCTGCTGAGCCCCTGCCCAGAGCTGTGTCTGCTCCGCTGCACCTGCCCACCCCCACGGGCACCACCGAGACGCCTGCGGGCAGGAAGGCAGAGCTCAGACAGTCCGAGTCTGTGTCTCCAGCAAGCCTGTGCTTCCTGGGGAAAGTGTTACTGATGGGGCGGGGGGGGGGGGGGGGGAGGCCAGCTGTCCCCGGGCTGTGTAGGTTCTTGGCAGCTAAAACCTCGTCCCACCTGGACTGGCTTTGGTAGCAGCCATGGCCATGCCCCAGCCCACATGTGCTCGGGCACTGACTGACTGCCTGGCGCCGGGACAGGGTGAGGCCAGGACGGGACACATGGGGCCGCAGGAGCAAGTGGCCAGGAAGGCAGTGTGGCCAGGAAGGCACGCTGATGACCTGAGGGCCGAGGGAGCCTGTTCCGAGCTGAGGAGCAGCCCTGGCCTGGGCTGGCGGGCACGAGAGCAGAGCAGGGCCTGCAAAGCAGAAGGGGAGGAGGCAGGAGGCCCTGGGCCTGACCGAGCCAGGGGCGCAGCCCCGCCGATGCCCCCCCAGCAGCACCCACACAGCCCCTTCCCCGTGTCTGCTCACGTGGACCCAAGCCGCTGCCATCAGGGCGGGGCTGGTCCCCAGGGGAAGGCGTATTGGTGGGTGCAGGCTTGAGATCAGGCCTCCTGGCCTTTATCACGGCGACCAGGGTGCTGGGCCACCTGAGCTGGGGGCTGGGGTGCCCCTGAAGGTGCTAACTGCCTGGGCGTCTGCCCTGCACCCACAGAACTTGCTGGAGCAACTTCTGATCCACCAGCCCAAGGACCCCATGCTGTTCATGATCGAACACTTACAGCGAAACAACGACCACGGTGAGCGCTCGGGGCCTCTCCCTGCCCCCCTCCCCCGCCCCGTGAGCCGCTCTGTCCTCGGGGTCTGAAGAGGGGGCCGGTGGGCTTGGACAATTGGCTGCTGGGGAATTGAACACTCCCCTCATTTCTCCCGGAGCACAGCTAAAGGAAGCACCTCGGGGTGGCCCACAGACCCAGTGTCCATGCTCCCCCACAACCCAGCCGATAGCACCCACCAACTGTAAACTCCGGGATCACATGTCACGTGTGAATGGGCCATCTGGTCTACCTGGGCAGCAGCACTCATAGTCATTCTTTCCCTCTGGGCTCCTTGCCCGAGGCCAGGTCGGCTGCACCCACGGCCAGACCTCGGCCCCGAGGTTCAGAGAGCCCAGTGGCCTTTTCTGAGCCCTCTCCCCCCGCCCAGCGCTGGGCAGGACTGTGAGCTCGGGGCCCAGGCGACGTGACGTGACCTGTGGGGCCGGGAGGACCCCTTCAGCTGCCCGCGGTGCCTCCCTGCCTCCCGCCCAGACGCTGCCTCCAGGCCTCGGGCTCCGTTCATGGTGGGGGGGGGGGTTCGCCTGGGCCAGGGAGCCAGGGCCACCGCCTTCTGCCGGCCACGCGCGGCGTGGTGCCTGGAAGCCGGCTCCAGCCCTCTGCCTCCCGGGGGCTGGTGTGGAGGAGAAGGCTCTGCACGCCGGGCTGGCAGCCCCTTCACCGCAGCGCCAGCAGCGCGGGTACAAAGCGGGCATTTAGAGTCGCCCTGGGCGAGCTGATGCCCAGACGGCGATGGCGGGGAGCGATGGCAGGGAGCGGGCGCTGCGGTGGAGGAGCCGGGTTTGTCGGGGGAAAGCTGCCGTCAGACCGCCCCGAGGGCTCTCTGTGCATTTAAATCAGCTCCTCGTTAAGCCGAATCCTGTGCGAGCCTGGGGTTCCCTTTGAAGCCGTTGGAAGCGGTGGTTGCACTGGCAGCCGGGGAGTGGCTGTTTATAAATAATTAGGTTAGAAGCAGCCTCAGTGCATCAGGTAAACGTGTGGAGACCCGGGGTCGGGGCGGCCAGGGTGTTCCCTTGTAAAGCATTCCCACCACGCGTACAACACGGGGGTCACTCCCGGGGCTCCCCCAGCAGCCGCTGAGCCCTGTCACCTTGTCAAGATGAACGCAAGACTTGGGAGCCCCCCATCCCCCGAGTGCTCCTGTCGGGGTGCGTCCCCTTCTCCTCGGGTCCTCCCGGCGCCACGGCTCTGGTTCCGGTTCCGGTTCCTGCGTCCGCGTGTGGAGCCCAGCACGCACGCCTCCCACCCTGTGACCTGCAGCGGCGGGGCTTCCCGGCGGCGGCCCCACGGGGTGGCCGGGAGCCACAGTGGGAGTTCAGGGCGGGGAGAGCCTGGCCAGCGAGCCGCCCTGCAGCCCGCAGCTGTGCTCCATCCGCACGGAGATGCCCGCATCCCCCACTTCCCTCTGTGCGACGACGGGGTCCAGTGAGCTAAACGAGAGGCATACGTACCAGGGGGAGAGCTTCCGAGGCCGATTTACACAGAATACAGCGTTCTTCTCGAGACAAAGCCCGGGGATGGGACATCGCAGCCGCTCCTGACAGTTATCAGTTCCTGGTATTTATTAGTTCCTGATAGTTATTAGTTTGGCAAATGAGAGTCACCGTGTCCGTGTCCCCTCGGAGACAGAGAATAAGCCATCTGGGTGATCACTTACCTCTGCACAGAGAGAGATCTCTGCAGGGAACTGCGGTCACAAACGGCGTGTCACCTGCAGAAAAGGAAGCCAGGAGGAGGGAGGGACACACACACACACACACACACACACACACACACACACGCTGTGCACCGCGCTGAGGGTGGGAGGCCACTCTGCTGCCCGCAGTGACGTGGGCATTCCTTCCACAGTGCCGAAGATCATGATCCTGGGCCCACCCGCCTCCGGGAAGACCACCATCGTGAGTGTGTCCCTGCGTGAGCAACACATGACACCCCAAAGCGACACCGCGACACCCCCAAAGCGGGATGAGGCGCACTCGGCGACTTCTCCTTTCCCGTCCATGGCTTCTAACTTGTTTCCTTATTCTTTTTATTTTAAAACATGTTTTCATGGACTTCAGAGAGGATTGGAGAGGGAGAGAGATGGAAATGGTATATCGTAAATCAGAAGACGCCTTAATCAATAAGCCAGGTTTATCTGGAGTCCTGTTTCCAGCGGCCCAGAGGAAATTCTGGGGTCCAGTGTGGTGGAAGTCTCCTTGTTTATGTTTTTTTTTTTTTAGCTCTTTGTTTTCCAAATTTGGAACGAGACTTCTGGGCCTTCTGAGAAAAAGTCCCGCGGGCTGGGACAGGGCTGAGAGAACATGTCTCAAGGCCTGGCCTGGCGCCAGCGCTGACAGCTCTGCCTGGGGCACAGTTTATGGCCTCCCTGGAATGGGAGCAGTCTTAACTGTGCCCGTTATTTAAGCAAGCAAACGTTTACAGAAGCCAGAACAGCAGGGTTACATTTTAAACAGCAGTTTTTACCTAAGATGGAGGTTACCATGCCTCAGAAACATCAGCGATAAGAGAGATTCATGGATCGGCTGCCTCCTGCGTGCCCCACACTGGGGATCGAGCCCAAAGCCTGTCCATAGGACGCGGACGCTCAGCCAGCTGAGCCACACGGGCCGGCCGGAGCTTCTGTCCGGTAAAGCCTGGAGAGTCTCCCCGGCCGCCGCCCCCGGGGCTGTGTCCTCGCTGAGGTCCGTGCCCGGAGGGTATGGCAGCGGTTCCCTCCTTGGCTGGCTCTGTCCTAGGTCAGCTGTTCCCTCCCCCGCCTGTCCGTCCACCCACCGTTGTCCGTCTCTCTGTCTGTAGTTTTCTTGCCCGGCACGCAGGCTCGGGCTGCCAGCTCTGGGCCCTTCCCCCGAGAACCGTTTCACCGCCAGAACCGCCGGCTGCAGCCCCGGTTGCCTCGCAGCACCAGGCCCCGCACTCTGCTCTCCCCTGACAGTGTCTGCTGGGGGACCCGGGCCTCCGGGGGAGCGCCCTGCGGCCATGCTGAGG